TTTTGCTTTCACTTTAGTATCGCTGCTCGCAATCGTGGAGTCGCGGAAAACTTCTACAGCTTCTCGCGATTGCGTCGCGCAACTCGTACACTTGTTAAGCTCATTTAGTGCATACTTGACTGGAAACACTGTGAGTGGGGCACCTGCTAGACGCTTCGTGGTATCCGAATGGTAACCTAATTTCGTTACATAAAAAAAAAAAAAACGCGCTGAATTGTTGCGCTGATCGTCGAAGGAGAAAAGAAACGAACAAATGAACCGGCGTACACGTATTGTCTCAAATATTTCAGCGTCACTTTATCTGTTACACGAAGTTAGTTTAAAGGCATGCAATGTTCGAATCGAAGCCCCCAAGCTATGCTCACTTTTAATGACATCGCGTTATCCACCGCTTCGGGCCTGTGGTTATGTTTCTCGACTGCTGATTCGAAGGTCACGGGATCGCATCCCGGCCCTGGCGACCGCATTTCGATGTAAGCCGAAATTCCAGTGGCCCGTACTTACATCTAGGTTCGCGCTAAATAGCCCCATAAGTGAATGAATTTTCGGAGCCCTCCATTTACAGCCTCTCTCACGATCACGTCGTGGTTTTGAGACGTGAAACTTCAGCAGGTATTTTAATTACATTACGTTCTCATGCAGCTGGAGCAAAACTGTAGGTCACCGAATACATATCAAAGTTGTTGGGACACTCCGCGTAACTGCAGTCTTATAAGAGCGTACATGCAACAAGCAACAGAGAATAGACGCGCGCAGACATACGGAGAGGCATTTGTGGGCCCATTGTTTTCCGTTACGGAATGCGCTGCGTACCCGTGCTGCCTTTCCTTGCTTTTAGTTTCTCCGTGCATGCTTATAGATGTTGACCCATGCATCAACTATAGCTCATGTTGAACGAGTGCTGCATAGGTATGCGTACTAGCTTGTACACCTTCTGCGACTGTCCTCGCTATACAATGCGCCGAGGAAAGGGCTTGCAGTCGTGCTAGCTCGCACAGATCGCAGACCGATGACGACGGAAAATATTTTGCAATGTCTCCCTGGGAGGTCATCGTGGGTTAAAGGCGACGAAGGCGTTGCTCAACTTCTTGAAGTCGCCAGACTTGCACCGGCGATTAAAGACTGATGGTGTTTTAACGACTGTGAGGTGTCTGGCTTTGTGTGTGCCTGCTCTCCTCTCTTTCTCCGTCTTTAAAACTCTTTCATCCCTTTCCCAAGTGTAGGGTAGCATACCGGTCCTTCCACATTGGTTAACGTCCCTGGCTTTCCTTGCTCTCCGTTCCTTCATTCGTATACGCGCGCTCAGCACTCCTTGATGAAGTGTTCGTGCCCCCACTTTGACACGGTGAAACGCCTCCACTTTCACGCGAAACACTTTGATAGCGAATGACTTTGGACGTGTTCTGGCGGTTGTACGTGACCAATGACGTGTTCCAAAAGCGTTCGGTTCATATTTTGTTTCGTTCCCGTCGCTTTCGGACATTCGTGTAAATACAGAAAGGGCGGTTATTGTGTGGAGCTCGTTACGTGTCTATCAGAGTCTCCCGATTTATCGACTACGAGTGAGATATCTCGCTTCACCTATATTACAAGGAAAAGGCGTTGCAAAGAAAAAGTGGTGCCAAAACGCGGCATTTCCCGCTCGTACACTTAGTACCCCTCCTCGCCCCATCCTTCTTCCCTTCTCCTATTGTCGTTTCCTATTGGGTCCACCAGCTGGAGCATTGTTTCTGGTTCCGCGTGCTCTAGATACTTCAACCGACCGATCGGCCTCGACTCTGTTGCGTCCGTCGCCCGGCCCCCACCAGACTCAATCGGCGATTCTGCGCGTCCTTGCGCTTGCAGCGCGGTGCATGCGCTTGCGTATATAGTGTGTGCATACGCCCGTACGCCTTTTTGGTGGCACGCCGACGCAACGGGCCTCATATACGCTCGCCATCAATTACGAAATTTTCGTTTAAGCGAAGTTGGGAGAAGAAAAACGTACCGCTCACTGACTGACTGCTGCGCCGAAAGCACTCTCTTTACGGTGCCGTCGGCTGATTTGAGCGGAAAATGACTTACGCGTGCCCGGCAAGGTCGCGAGGGGCGGTGAGCTGGTGAATGTCACGACGACTGCATGTTTGTATGAAGCGATTAACGCACGGAACAAGGCGAAGACCGCAAACTCAAGGAACGCCAGCCCAGAGTTATCTTTACTGGTGTTTTGTGCGCTTCACCGCTTTTCCGTGCGCTGCTTCACGTACACGTCATGAAGATCGCGTCTTCACGAAGAAAATAAAGGTTTGAGCATCCAGCCAAACCCGGAGAATTTGAACCGGCCAGGGGTGTCTATGCCACCAGATATAACCGTCTTAGTTTTTTTATTGGGGGGGGGGGTGGGAATGATTTATCATTAATAACTATTCAAGACTGCGAACTCATGGCACAAGCAGGGGGGTTAATGCAAATACGAAAGAAGTAGCAGTTACAGAGCAATACTAGTAAACAGGGACGAACGTTATTTACCTATTTTATAACACGTACAAAAGGCAGCTCCGTTCACTAATGTTTGTCGGAAAACATGCAATCTTAAATAGGTCACTTCGAGTAAAATGTGGCGTTATGGCGTTTTGGTGGTGGCGTTGGCTGGGCCTACTGGTTAGAGGTGTCAAGTATGGCGATGGATCTTTAGAGCTAGTTTTCTGTTGAAAAGTTAATAAAGAAATTATAATTTAGGTTTCTGCCTTCCTGTCTGTAGTAAGGCAATATCATTGGCTTGCATTGAATCCTATGAAGAGATAGTTATAGTGCTAGTAATAGTATCATACTAGTGATGAATTCGTTTGCCTTGTGGTATGCCGCGCATATAAAATAAGCATTAAACGGTCACCTAAGGATGCATGGGTATAGCTGTATAGAAGCGCCTGAACCAACAAGTGCACCATTGCGTCTTAAGGGTGTGGAAACTGATTGTGAAACGGGGCCATAAACCGCGCAGAGCAAATTGAAATGCCAGCGCCGGACAACCGCACACTGCAGATATCACCGTAAAAACGCTATAGATGCGACTCACGTTTCGGTTCTAAATCTCCCTATACATTAATTCTGTTTGTTTCGTCACCGTTCAAGAATCGTTTATTACGCGAGAGTTCTTGAATCTTGAACACGTGACCGTGTCCCGAGATCATATGATTCGACAAGTTGTTCGTGCATGCGTCCTACATGCAGTATATACTTCGCACTCCCGCTTCTATCCTTGAACTTTTCGCGGACGTTGATTCAAACGCGTCTTTCCTATCGCAGCGCCGTCAATTACACAAACCACATGCGCACAAAAAGTTTAAGTGGTGCTGCCCGCCAGTCCTCGAAGTGCCATTAAAATTTCACACTCTCTCTCTTTCTTTCACAAGGCACTGGCGTTCGTTTGTGTCGTCACATTCACCACCGCCACCTCACAGAGCAGCTGGTTCGCGTTCTCTTTCGTTGGTCGCACCTCTTGATCAAACGATGGCGGGTGCTGGACGCTATCTCTCTCTCTCTCTTCTAGCTTTTACTCTATCTCTCCCCCCTAATGGCACGTCTCTCCGATCTCTGGGTGATCTCTCAAATCGGGGCCGCCGCCCGGCCCTGTTGACCGAGCCGTCGGTCCGCGTGTTTTCGTTCCGTCATTCTGAAAGGCTCTCGTAAAGCCCGCCGCGTATACTCCCCCGCTGTAGAGCTTTCCCTTTCTCCCGCTGTCTTTGACGGGCGCTGCTGATCTCTTGTCTCCCAAAGGGCGCGCGCGCCGCCACTTCGGCCCGAAGTCATTGTTCGCGCTGCCTCACACTCGGCGTTGCGATAACGCGCGCTGCATTTCTGAAGGCGCTGCTATAGCGTGTACGCCTCTGTGTGGAAGCCTCCCGACACCCTGAACGCAACCCTCGATCGCACAGCCCCGAGTTTCGAATGGCGTTCTCAAACGCCACACCGAGCGCCTCGGAGGCTTGACCGCGCGGACCGTGTTAGCTGCATGTGGGCCGATTTTCGCTTTTTCAAAGCCCGCACGCACGGCGAATAGCGCGGTGTCACTTCGAAGGTCTTCGAAAGAGGGTGGCTTGTGTATTCATATTGGCGAAACGGGGTCGTCGACCCCTCCCAGCCGTCCGTCGCTCGTATGTCTGTAGTTGGCGTAAGGATTGCGCTCCATAAGCCTGCCTATACGACGATATCTCGATCTCTTGGGCGGAGTGATTCGCCATGGAGAAAGAAAAAAAAAATCTTGGCGTTTGGACGCGCTTCCCATCCAAGTAAATCATTGACATTGAATGATGTTTGCGTTTTATTTTTCCCGTGAGCTATAACAAAGAGATCTACAATGTATAGCGTCAATGAACGTGCTTGAGGGCTTATGGAATTATTAGGTCGCGGGGAGGTCGGTGGGAGCATATACCACGTAATGCCGGCCTCGCCGCCTTCTAGTAAGCTATACTCTATCACCTGTTCTGTTCTGTTCTGACTTGTGAGCTGTGAATTGGTTAAGGTTTAAGTAGCATCTCCAAATTTTTAAACCATTACTTTCCTCTGCAACGCGCGTGCATGCGCACATGAACACACACGCACACAAATACGCATGGACACACACAACCCTACGGAATGGTCACCCAAAAACAAAAATGAACAGGCAAAGAAAAAAAAAACAGGACTGGAACGAATGTACACAATATGGCAGCATTTGGATCGGTGAGTCGAACACCGTCTCCGCCGCTCCTCGACTCGCAGGACAGTGAAGACGCATTTGTGTTTATAAAAATGCCTTGTGTTTTTTTTTCTGTGCGCTTCGCAATGGTGTTTGTGGAGCGCGCAACGAAATGTCAAGAAACGCGGCTTAGGTTGTGACTATTCATGTTACGTTTCGTTTTTCGCATAAAATTTGTGTATTTACGTTTAAAAATATCAATAATAATAATAATAATAATAATAATAATAATAATAATAATAATAATAATAATAATAATAATACCGTATTTTTTCCAACGCAGGTCTAAAGCCTCCCTCGTAGACAGCCAACTGCCGCTGACTTGCGTCTGAGGATACTCCTCGGTATGTATGCATATTTACTCATCTCATAATAACTTTGTAATAGTCTGGCTGCTCTTCTGCATTTCTGTTGTCACTTACACTTTATTACACCGATGGTCACTATATATATATATATATATATATATATATATATATATATATATATATATATATATATATATATATATATATATATATATATATATATATATATATATATATATATTGTAATGAATTAATGAATCTGAGTAACGGACGCTCTGCTGGCAACGAAGAAGACGATGATGATCGGTGGCTGCAGTAGTAGCTCGCGCACGCCGTTCGCCATTAGCCAGACCTGCCTGTTAAAGCTCATTTTGTCAAGCTGCGTCTGAACCTTTCTCGACGTACAACACCTCTATTTTAATATATATATATATATATATATATATACATGTGTGTGTGTGTGTGTGTGTGTGTGTGTGTGTGTGTGTGTGTGTGTGTGTGTGTGTGTGTGTGTGAAAAAGAAGGTGTCCTTGGATCCAGTGGAAAAATACGAAGAAGTGGAGGATGGGCAAAACGAAAACTTTTTTATTTTTCCTACGTTTCAGCCGGGAACCGACCTTCATCAGGGAAAAGGTTTTTCCCTGATGAAGGCCGGTATATAGATCACTGCTTCTATATATATATCACTGCTCCCTTACATGTGCTCATCCTTTCTGTCAAGACATTGAATAAAAAACTCTGCCAGAGGCTTCTTTTATGCGGAGCGATCAAAATGCGAAGCATTCGATCTAAGCATACCTATCTCATAACTAACTAACTAGCTAACTAACTAACTAACTAACTAACTAACTAACTAACTAACTAACTAACTAACTAACCGATTGAATAAGTCCTACAAAGTCATATAGCAACACCTGCATTACCCACTAATGCCAGCTGTGGAGGTAATTATATTTATTTATTTATTTATTTACAGCTACCTTACAGGCCCTTGGTTAGGGCATTGAGTAAGGGGGGCTAACAAAGACATGTACAACAAGTAAAAGGGCGAAAGGTGCCAAAACGTAAGCTCGAGACATGAGTAAAAAATAAAGAAGAAATAAGTAAGTATAAATTGACATCATACATCGTTACCAAAAAACTAGAAAGATGCAGTTCATGGCACGCAGCAGTTAGGAAATGTACAATACGTGTAAGTTAAATTGGCACAGATTGTGGTATAATACACTGGGAAAATCATGTAAGCGCTTGCAGGAAGTGTGAACAGTTCGTCCTAAGCAAACAAAAATAAAGCACAAAAAATAAGGGGGCAATAAGCGCATTAGAAAAAAACTTTTTGCACAGCATTATGAATGTCATATACATACAAGAACGAAGCTGTGAACATAAAATTATCAACCAAAATGTAAGACCAATTTGTTGCGGAAATATAATACTAACGTGTTTTTTCGTTATAGGCAGTGCTGCAGAGGTGAGGACAGGAAAAAGGTGGAGTACACAGACAACGCGCCGCGCTGCCTTTTTTCTGCAGTATGTTGCAACTGACCGCCACACGAGCTTTTCAAACGTGTTGTTCACACATTCACCGCTCAATCTCGGAATATGTATTAATTAATGTATTTATTTATGTGTTTTGCCCACTTCCTTAAGAAATGATTCCTTTTTGTATGTGCGAAATCTCGATACGCAACTCTCGAGGATTTCACCGTTTAAATGACCATGCACTATCTTAGAAGAAAAAAAAAAGCAAAGTGTGGAAAAGAAAAACGGGTGTGAATTCGAAGAATGGCAGGCGATACATCTCATCCCCGCAGAGAGCTATGAGGCGTGCCGTTCTCGGAAGATGACGCCTTCTCGCCGCCTATTTGTCCTTATCTCGCTTTTTTTTTTACTATCGCTTTTTCCACCGCCTTTTGTTTTCCCTTTTGTCCACTTTATCGTAAGTATATGGGTCGCCAAGGAAACTATTCGGTAAACGTAGCAGCTCCTTCCCGCAAACCACTCAGCTTTATCTCGGGCAAACTTTTTTCTCACGCTGTTGTCGGAACCATCTGTGCTGCTCCACGGCAACAAGCGCGCACACACGCACACACACACACGTACACGCACACGCACACACACACACGCACACACACACTCTCACTCACTCACTCACTCACTCACTCACTCACTGAGAGATAGAGACACACAGACACGCCCCGCCGCGGTGGTCTAGTAGCTAAGGTACTCGGCTGCTGAACCGCAGGTCGCGGGATCGAATCCCGGCTGTGGCGGCTGCATTTCAGATGGAGGCGGAAATGTTGTAGGCCCGTGTGCTCAGATTTAGGTGCACGTTAAAGAACCCCAGTTGGTCGAAATTTCCGGAGTCCACCACTACGGTGTCTCTCATATACATATGGTGGTTTTGGGACGTTAAACCCCACATATCATCATTGGGATACTTGAACGCAGAAAGTTTGACCTGTCAGTCATCGATATATATATATATATATATATATATATATATATATATATATTATATATATATATATATATTGTGTGTCTGTGTGTGAAAGAAAGTGCGAGAAAAATGGAGCAGTCCCGCTCATCAAGTCACGACGGGTCGTTTGGCAGCGACAGGCATTCCCGGGAGCGGTCGTATTTCACGCAGTGTGGTTCCCACGCGCGTAACCAGTTTTAGAATGCGAGAAGGGCCATGAATGGCGCGCCTCGATGAAAAGGATCTCGCCAAAAGCCCATTGAGGGAGGCAAACTTCTGGACCGTTTGCGCGGCCGTTTGCTTTTACTTTTTTTTTTCATTCACAATAGAGTTTGTTGAACGAAACCGAGGCGGTTTTGTTCATCTTTAGTTTCGCTAGAAGCCGACGCTAGAGCGAGAAATTGACTGTAAGTGTACTGGTAAGTTACAATTCTAGATCACACAATATAGACCTTTTTCGGTGAGAATACTTTCGTCTTAGTAAGTTAGAACCTACCAAAATTATTTAATGCCTCCGTCTCCGAGGTAAAAGTTTAGCGAGCCTGCAAATGTCTTTTGTATCTTTTAACGTAAAAAATTCGGCAGGTAACAAAATGTTCCACAATGTGCACTCGTGAACAACGAACAACAATGTTAACACTCGAGAAACGTTCGCTCTTCCTTAGCGATTCTATGTTGTTCTGTTAAAGCAAGTGTACCTTTTGTTTCTAATCTGCTTATGTGGATGCCTTAAAGGGGTGTTTATGATTTTAAATTTCTGGCCCGTTTCACCGACATGCAAGACTCACAATGAAGGTATTTATTTCTTTGAAGCCTGAACGCATGATATATCGGCCCGGCAATGGAGTTTTCGAGATCCGACATTAGCGCCGTAACACATAACCTAGCGAGTATAGAAGCAGCAAAAATTGGGCCCGGTGGTGTATTTCGGAGGGAACCACTCGCATTTAAAGTACCTCAGACGAACACGTGGCTGCTATTATTTTATGTGGACCCTTCGTTGGAAAAACGCCAAAAGGTTCACACTTGAGCATGTTTATGTGCTCTGAAAAGGTCTCATTTTAACTGGGTCAAAGAGCTCGTTTCGCAGAAATTCAGCTGCTGGTGGTGTCGTCGTCGTTGGTAGTGAGCGAAAAAACGCTGTTGAAGCAATGTGTCACGTTAAACGGCCTTGCAGAGATATCAAACGGCAATTACCAGCACTGATAAACTAGAAGACTTATTAGCTTCAAAATAAACGTTCCCTGCAAGGCCGTTATACTGGAATATTGTATAGAGTAAAGAGTTCCTGGGCTAATAGCCACAGCACTAATTTTGCCTAACTATTGGCTAATAGTATAGTTAATGTTGGTTGGCGCTGCCGGTGCATATCAGGAACAGCTAACGCATTGCGGAGACGACCGATCCCCCTTAAAGATATTCGCCGTGATCTCAGTTGTTTTTGTATTTTTTGGAGGTAGGATCACCCAACTTAACGTGCCTGAATATCGGCTAACGCACGCAGTCCGGAAAGAGCGCGCACCCAGTGCTCGCGTCGCCTCCTTGCGGAGACGGATGGCGTCGTTACAGGGAGGCTATACGTAGCGAGAGCTTAACCGGGCGTTCTCTTTTTTCCACTTCGTTAGGTTGAGTGAAGTACGTCAGTAGGGGCTCGCGTTCCACGCCGTGGGCTGCCCGCAGCACCAACAACAACCCGGCGTAAAAGGCGCGCATGGTTTAAGAGGTAAAGGAGGAAAGCGTAAGATGCGGAGATGACGTCCCGTTAGCGGCGGCGGTGGCTCTCGCTATATACTCTCTACGAGTGGTTAACGGGCCGGATGATTTGGCCGTTAACGACTAATGAACGAACGACCGGCCCGGACGGGAAATGAAGGAAGGGAAAGAGAGTTTCGACTCTGTGTCTCTTGGGGAGGGGGTTCGGTGGGGCAGGGGGGGGGGGGGGGCGGGGGGGGGGGGCTGCGAGCAGCTGTGTATAGAGAAAACGGTCGCGCGTACGCACGCTCCAAATACACGGGTGGAGACCACCTCCTTTTGTGTACCCGCGTTGACGTGCTCTGCGCGTTGGCCAGTCTGTTGGATCTCGGGCGAAGTTAATGGCGCGGGGAAATTTATTTCGGGATCAAGCGGGGGAGGGTGGGGAGACGAAAACGCGCCTTCCCGCGGCATTCTACGTCGCTGTCGACGTAGCCGGTGCTTACGCCTGGCGCGAACGTTTGTCCTCTAGCGGGGAAAGAGGGAAAATTGAGGCACGCGCTCGCGCGAAATGCTGCGCTTCAAGGAAAAGCCGAGCCGTGATTGGAGAAGGTAGTGCATGAGTCTGATGGAGGGAAGTATCTGAAATGCGTGCGAAAGCGAAGGAATGCCTGGATGTGGGAGAAGCACTCACTCTCCATCATTTTCTCTCTCTCCACCCGGTGCTTTGTGGTAAATCGAGCGTGTGCGTGCTGTAGTGATCGCTCGATACCTTCCTCTGTACGGCGATGCAGCACAGGCGCCTTTAAATGTTTCGGCGTCAAGTGGTCCGGAAGAGTGTTGCTCAGTGTATACACCGAGCATA